GACAGAAAAAATTGAAAGAGTTCATCGGAAACGGTACTTGCACTATTTTTAAAAGCATACTTGGATCTGTTCGAGAAAAAGTAAAGAAAAAAATTATGCCGTTTTGGGGAAAACAATTGTTTAAAAATTGCTTATACTACACCCAAAATTTCGCGCAAACTACTCATATTTTCGAAAATTGTACGTGACCTTATTCAAAGATCTGTCATTTAAGAACAGATACCATTATGAAAAAAATATCTATCCTCAATATTATACTTGTAGGGAAACGCCGAAAACAAATTGAACTTTTAGTTTTCGAAAATTCATAGTTCCACGAAATTGAGACATGTGCCATTTTTATGCGCTCTTTTATCTAAGGAAAACATTTAAAGAAAAAAATGAAAATGTATTTGGGGCTTCGTGTTAAGAACCCCCAAAAATCAAAATATCCGTTTCAAATTCTCAGGGCATCGATTTCGGAGAAATCGATCGGGGAATATGCATTGGACAAAATCGACTCATCGGTTAAGGCGCTATAGCTGACCTCAGACGATCAGAAAGACGTTTTGCCGTCAACCAATTTTTCTATAGTATCAAGAACCTACAAAATGTGTATTCTGACAAGGTGGTAATTTAGAAGTAATTCACATCCCATAGGAAAACGATTTATCCATTTTTTTCTACACCAGGACCCCACAGTTCTTGTTTTTCTGACAAAATCGCCTTTCCACTGCATTACAATGTTTCACTTTACTACGTAAGTACGTAGTAGGTGAGGAAAGAAAAAATATGAAGGACAATAGGTAATAGAGGAGATAATATAGTCTAACTGAAACTGCCTAATTGAACGCTGATATTTTTAAATGTTATAGATTAAAACTTGTTTTATTAATTAAGATATTAGTTTGAGAGTGCTCTAAAATATACCTTCCCGATATGTCCTAAGTATAAAACACACTCAAGAGAGGGAAGACATTTATTCTCTAGAAAACGGAAATAAAAATATTAAATGGAATACCTCGACTCATTCTCTTTTTCATTAAAAAAGGGCATTGCTCTCCATAACTGAAATAAGCTCGATCTATATTTTTAGATTGTTAGCTTTTGAGCTTTCAACTCACTTACAAACCTTTCTTTCTAGATAAGGAGCGACAAGAGGCTGTTTGACCAATCAGCGAGCGCCAACGCAGCAGTCAACGATAGATGACGCTACTTTCCAGTGACGTTTATTGGTATCTCCACAACCTACGACGCGACGTACGAACACTTGTACAAATATTGCTTCTAGCGGTATTCTGACAAGTTCCATCATTCTCACAGACCTGCCTGAAGATGTGCCAAACGATAGCAACTGCCTGCCGCTTCTGAAGATCAGTATCCCGGGCCAGAAGTCCCGAAACGTCCGAGAGAAGTTGGGAAGCGACGACGCGGAGGCAGCTCAGGGCCGCGCCCATCCGCAACTCGCCGCAGCGCCTGTGGTTGGTTGCGGACGTTGCCGCAGTTAAGCGCTGCGCCAGCCGCGGGGGAGGGGGGCCGTGTTGTCGCGCCGCACACAGCATACCAGTTATCCGCTGAACCTCCATGTCGCTGGTCCCTTGGGCTGGGCAAGAGCTGGCAGCGCTGCTTGGCGTCACAAACCCTGCAGCGAAAGGGGACTGCTTCCACGGCCTCCTTCAAGAAACCGTTGAGTTTGCTGTGTTCGGACATTTTGATGTTGGATTGGGAGTTGTTCTTCCTCGAAACTCTGTCTTGAGAGCCAGATTGGTAAGTTCCCTGTTATTTTCATTTTAAAGTAAACCTTAACTAATTCGCATTGTGATCCGTAATTCATTTGTTGAAGGTTGAGCTGTCAAATTGATTTAAAACAACAATTGTACAAAGGACATGAAGATGGAAGTTTGTAATTTGAAAAGCGTTCAACGGGTTGTAAATTTCACCTTGGACGATGGAAAAGAATTAGAAGTAGGGCACAGTGACGCATTAATCCCTGGTGTAACAATGATTTGTGACCTTCCATTACTATTTAGGAATGGATTTCCAACTTGCTTAGAAAATCTCACAGTTGGCCAATTGGAGAAATTTGTACCATTTATGATTAAGTGCTCTGGCGTACCGCCACAAATAAAACCCAAATGGTGGCCTGATGAACTATACCCTTCAAAACTTACGAAGATATCAGGCATGTCTGACAAGAACTGGTTGTCGTATTTAAAGAGGTTAGTTTTGCATTGTTACTCATATCATGGCTGTGAATATGCGCTAAAATTATGTACAGACCTTTCTCATAAATGTCACTCCATGAAACGAACTTCCGAGTGTGGAGTAGAAAATAGCTCCTCACAAGTGTACAAAGTGCCAAGAGTTATGCCAGCAACACGAAGATCTACAAAATCGCGATGCAATTTAGAGTATAATCGCGATAGTAGCAGTACGAAAAATGCCCTGAAAAGAAATGCAGATAATGGACATGAGCGAAATAAATCCCCTGAACAAATATATCTTTGCGACTATTGTGATTCAGAGTTCAGAGTCTCAAATGAAATACGTGCTCATGAAAAATTGTGCACTGAGAAAAATATTTCTAAGGCCCCTCTACCTGGGTATGTCCGCAAAAATAATCAAAATCGTTATACGTTGCGTAATAACAACGAACGAAACATGCAAAATATAACATCTATGGCCAGAAGTGGGCCTGGAGTGCCATCGAATGTTGATTCAATTAGTTCAGTCGCAATAAAATCCCTTTTAGAGACGCATTCTAAACCTAGAGAACCCTGCAAAAGTTGTGGAAATTTGTTTGTTTCGACGAAACTATTAAGTGACCATGAATCTATATGTCTAAAACAACAACTGCTTTTAGCACGCTTTCTTTCCACCTCATCAAATACAATTCCCTCAAGTAAAAAAGACAAGAGGGAACAGCTTAGTTCTCGACACAACTTATCAAGTACAAATACTTTTCCTGAAGCAGATTCAACCCCTCTGCGCAAAAAAAGAATGAAACTTTTGCCTCGCAAAGCAGGCCAAAGTAACTTCAAAGATGTCTCGCAGAATGAAATATTTCTTTGCGATAAATGTGACCAAGAATTTACGTCATTTACTGATATTCAGCGCCATGAAGCTACCGGATGTGGAATGATGAGAGAATTGACTCCCTCGCCAGTCTCCGAAGGGGCTCACGAATTGCCCGCGGAAGAGAATTTTATGCGTTATTTCGAGTTGACTCCATCATGCCAATCGCAGTCGACCTTCCGCCCCATAGCGCGATCTACTTTCCGTAGCAAAAGGTTCTTGGGAAATCCTATGCGATATAGCGCGATACCAATTTCTTCGCCTCTAGGGAGCCTAATTCATGGGACTCAAATACCGACTTCATCTATTTTAACCAAGATAGAGAAGGTAGAGCGGTACTGCTCTGCTAATCCTACCAGCACGTTTGGTCTTGAGGAGACGAATGCTGCCCCTGAATGGCGAATTTCATGGAAAGAGCAAACGAAAAACGTAATACACGAGATCGCCCACTCATATATTTACCCTTCAAAGCGGTGGTGGAAAATGCCTGAACTATGGAACACACAAATGAAAATAAAGCAAAGGAACAGTGAGCTAATGGCTCGTTGCAAATCTGTACAAATCAGACTCAGGAAGATGACGACCCGGGATATAGAGCTCTATACAGTATGTCGTACTGTCAGACCAGTAGTAAAAAAGTTGACCAATGAAGAAATCAGATTATTTACAAATCGTTAAGTCGTTGAAGGTTACATTTAAAAGAAACAAGAACATCAGCTTCTTCTCCAAAGATATGGATTTTGCATTACACCAGATGTAATCACTATTGCCATGATGAAATTCAAGGCACAATAAAATGGAATTAGAACTTGTGTCATAATTTCTAAAAAAAGAAAGTTCCTGTGACTTAGAAAACGAAAACAATTATGTTCTTTGTAGTTTTTGTTTTGTTTTTTAGTGTAAATGCAGACCAATTTAATAAAGCATTTGCTCTTCATTTATTTATTATATCACACAAAATATGTTTTCACAGTCTTCAACAGGCACATAAAAGTAGTTTTTAACTAAGTTGAATGTACCTGTTTTTGATGTCATATATTAATATTTTTGTTACTGAAACATAGATATAAGGACCATTTCAATTGTTATGAATTTTGTAAGTACTATAATAAAAGTTCTAGTACCAAAGTTATATGACTTGTTTTGTTTTCATAAAAATGTTCCCGGTTATTCTATCATTCCTATATTCCTACTAAGTTTCCAAGAAGAAGAATCCAATAGAAAGAATCCATTCACAACATGAGAAGATTTTTATCATTGAATTTGTTGAAACTGAACTCTTCAATTGTCACTAATGACATTGTCAAATAAATTCAAAATTTGCAAAGTTTGACACACTAAGCTGTAAGATAATCAGCTTTGGTAGTATTTTCTTGGGAAGAAAATAATTTATTCAAGAATCAACAATTTATCTATCATTGCTAGCAAAAAATTATAAAAAGAAAGTTGATTGCAAGAGAAATTAGAGATTTTCAGACATGCAAGATCTTTGGAAACTCTGATTAAAGTGAGTTTAAGACACCATAAAAAGAAGGTGATTAGGTATGGAATTCCTTTTACAAACCTCACAATGAGTCTACCTCATCAAGTCAACAACAACAAGAACAACAACAACAAAAAACACACACACACACCAATAACAACTAAAGATAACTGCATTGAATCAGCAACATGATGATCCAAATTCTTACAAAAACATTTCAGGTTTAATATGTCCAGTTTTGCTGGCTCTCAATTCAGGAGAGTATTATACTTCAGATTCGTTAGTTCTGTGACCAATTTTAAAGAAGAAAATTTTAACAAGAAGGTAAAGAAAGATGAATTTTGTTGAAAAATTAAACTCTGGTGGAAGTGAAATTACACTGAAATCAACATTACTTACTAAAGAGTAAACTAACCATTTTAATCATAAATGTTTAAAGCCCATTTTTATCAACATTTAAGATTGAATAATCAATAGCTTTTTATTATGAAGAATGGCTGCAGAAAGTAGTCAGCATTTTAAAAGATAATGATGCTAGCATACAATGCTAAGGTTCAGGGCCGGATTTAAGTAGTGCAGGGCCCCAAGCACAAAATTGTGTCCCCCCCGAAAAAATAGCTCCATCTTTATTAAATAAAAAATGTATTATAGTACATGTACTTTCTTCCACTACAAAAGAAAACTGAAAATGTTTAATAGAAATTTTTACTTGTGTTACATTTTTTTACATTAAATACATTTTACATAATTTTTTTCTGCTC